TTGTGGTTTTTTCGACTCACTGATTACGAATTTTTTTATCATATTTTGGCAAGTAATTAATGAAAGAGTAAACAATTTTTGAGTGGAAAAAGCATATTTATTTATATATAATTATATATAAAAATTATATATTATATATATTATTTGATTTATATATTATATCTTGAATTTTTAAAATCTAACATCAGATTTATAATCAACAACTCAAAGAACCTTTAATACTGATTTTCGAAAAAATTCTTTGTACTGTAAAGCGTTGTTAGTGTTACATTTTCCTAGTAGTTGTGGTGATCCATTTGACACTCTATATTTCTGAAAAATTAATTGCATGCTCAACATAAAAATTTTATTACTAATGTCTCATAATCTATCCCATGTCCTATAATCTATCATTTTTGGCATAAAATTCGATTCTAAAATCAAGGACCGAAAAACTTGCGATTTTTGCGGTCATTCTTTGTAAGCACTATAAAATTGTAAACTTGCTACTCAATAGCGCTATTTAGTAGTTATTACTAAATCATGAATTCTGGTTTTTTATTTCTGCACTCTCTGAGCTGGTATACGCAATGAAATAAAACAAATGTTTGTTTCATTTCATCTTATTTTACTGTATACATCAGTTTAGAGAGTGCAGGAATAAAATATCATATCAAAAATTCTTTTCCTTGTTATTAGTGGTGCGATTGAGTTAATCAGTCATATACCATAGCCATGATTCTAAAGAATTCACACCTCTATTGTTTCAAAACAATACTTTGCAACAAATGCAATCGTTTTTAAGTTTTTTAATGGATTTTGTAAAATTTAATTGTATTTATCTATAAAGAAATCTACATTTTACGTTATTTAGTTTGTTTTAAAGTGTCATATTTTTTACAGTGATACATTCAGTAGATCTTTCTTCCAATGCAACATAATGATATACGCATGCAAATTCTTCCATGTAGAATAATTTATATATACATATATAAAGATTCGAATATTTTATATTGCAAAATGTATTTTGAAAAAGAAAGATTGTTATTTCCATTTTGATTGTTTTTTATGTTATTAATATTCTATATTTTTCAATCATCGTCAAGTCTATTTTTCCAATGCAATATTTATCAAAAAATTTGAAATAATACGCGCGATACGTAAAAAAATATTTTATTTCCAATATCAAAATTATTTAAAATGTATGAAAACTCTGAAGAACAAATTTCAAAGTAACATAATGAGACTAATACACAGGACGACAAAATTAAAATTTTAAAAGTTTTAAAAATTAAAATTTTATAACGATTTGATGATCCAAATTCGAAAATAATCTCAAATTTGCTCCATCATCCACAATTCTTTTACAATAAAAAGTTAACTCTTAGAATATATTTTAAATGTATTTAAAATAGTATTATAAATCCTTTACAAGAATTATTCACTCGATTATTTACATTAAAAAAATTTTATATAAAAGATTTAATAGTTACTTTCTTCCAATTCTTCTTTTAACAGAGAAATTGTGTATGTAACTTTTTTGTCTCTTGCCTTTCGATTTTCACAATGCAGTATCCAGTAACGTCATTTACGCAGGAGAATAAATTTTTTCACTGTGCAATGTTAAATCCACATTTATATTTTGTAGAGAATATGAAAATTAAGCGAGTGAAATAACTGTATGGCACAATCTTTTTGTATTTTTTTCTCGAATTTATCACTTAAAAATGTAAAAAAAAAATGTAATCAGAACATGTTGATTAAAACACAACATAAAAAATTAACAAAGTAAAGTATAATATAATAAAAAAATTATATTTTATTACGTTTTTTTATTTCTTTAATGTCATTTTTCTCAAAATTGTGATGTGATAGCCAAATTTGGTATAATTGACAGTACATTTGTATTCAGCAATTTGTATCAAACAAGAATATATTAGAAACAATTAAAATGTTGAAAACAACTTTTTCGATGTTGACCTGTGTAATTTATTGAAAAATATAATATTACATTAATGGTTTTTTCTTATACGAGAAATACACATTGAAATAATTTACAACCACAAGAACAAAATAAGTTTGTTTTGGAAAATTACATTTCTGAAGCACAGTTTTTATTAATAAAATAGATCTTGAAACTCAAAATTTATTATATATATTATATATTTGAATTAAAGCAAAAGAAAAGTATATATCTGAAATATACAAATTAAAATTGATTCTTCAAATACTTTCCAATAATTCATACTATTCATAGCTAACTTAAAATAGCGCGATAAGAATATTGTTGTACATTAAATACCATTATATATTTTAAGTGACATTGTTTACGATAAGTTCAATTATTAATCATTATTATATCGCTATTATTAATATTATTGTTTAAATCTGTAATTGTTTAAGTTTTTACTTATTTCCAGATTTATTAGAAAAAAAAAAATTCTTTAACGAACGAAATGATACGTATGTATAGAGTATGAATGTATTTTTTCGAAGATGTATCAAATTATATTTGTAAATTGTGAAGATAATAAGTAAGTGAATGAAGATGCTTGATGTGTATCAATAACAGAATTGTAGGTAGTTTTCGTATATTTTGACGGATTGAAGTTCATATGTGAATGATTATTCCGGTGATGATTGTATAATAAATTATCGGATACGGTTTATATTGGCGTAAAAGCTAAAATGCGGGCATTTAAATATTGACAGAATAATTAATAAAGGAAAATATAGCTACGGAAGCTTTTCTTTTTAGCGAATGTGCCATGCATAGTTCATATCAAAGTTATAACTCATATTGCGTGCGATAATTCATATTATGTAAATCCATAATGTAAATCGATTGCTAATAGATCGAATTCTTTTTTATAAGGTTGCGTTATTACATATATAATAGTATGTACTCATTTAAGGTATATGATTATTATCAAAGTTATATAAAGTGAGATAATTAATATTATTGTTACATCGTACGTTTTTCTTATAGAAAACGTTATAATAGTATAATTTTATTCGATTGTAAATTATTTAATGCTTCCTTTTATTTACGCAATTCAACTACAAATAATTATTAACCATGATGAATTGATGCTCTAGTGTTTTCTGTTCACAATCGTGAAAAAAAGGATTAATCAAAATATAATTTATAGTGAAATATTATAAATATATAATATATGTATGTACATATACATATAGGATATTCTAAACTTCGCGACTCAAAATATTATAGTAAGAAAATTTTCGAAAAATTAAATAAAACTATTTGTAAATTTTTATTTTAGAAGATAGTTTCTGAGATATAAGAGTTAAGTATGGCCATTCATAGACTGTGTTAAGCGATCATCTGTCTCTGATAATCGCGCATTGAGTAATATAAATGAGTATTTCAGAGCAATCATATCATAGAGTATAGACGATCATCTAAACGCCTGTAATTGGCCGTATTTAAACCATTACATTTAAAAATAGTGTTTAAAATAATATATTAAAACTTGCCTTTGAGAGAGCCAAACACAGGATATTGATGTGTATAATAATTTATTTAACGAAATAGTAATTTACTAATTTTTATAGATGTGTTACTTTGGAGCCTTTTCAATGTAAATATAACAATTAATTTAATATGTCGAAATAATAAGTATTCGGAACGCATATTAACGCAAATGAATTAATATGCAGTATCATGACCAAATGTGCTAAGTGCTTCAACAAATTAATGATCAAACTTCTAGATTTATTAAACAGCAAAAAATTAAATAAAAAGGATGATAAAAATAAAAAAATAAAATACTTATCATGATGATCAATAATACTGGGCACATTTTTGAGATGTTGGCAGTTCGTGCGTCATTTGATTTGACAACGTGTTTGTTATAAATCATAAATTAAACATAACTTATAGAATACATTATGTTTTAATAATAAGTCAGAATAAATCGGATCTATGAATTCAATGTCATTTTGTAAATTTAAACAATTTTTTGTTTGTATATAAAATCATTTTCGATATAAGTCGTTTATTCAAAATTGTTTTTTCATCTAAATTTTTTATATTATATCCCAATCAAATTTATAAAAAAATTCCAATTTATCTTTGTAATTACTGATCGTTGGTTTGTTTCAATTAATGTGATTTTATGATAATTTTTATTCTCTTTTTAATGCAGTGAACTCAACAGTTGAGTGAGCGTTTGCTGCTATCGATGCATTTTTCTATTAGGTCTAACTTAAGGATGTATTTGATGTATAATCGTTGACAAAAGTGCTCCAAATTCGGAATATTTGCATAACTGCGGCAAACGTGTAGTAAATCTAGTGATAACTTATTAAATGATAGCTAATCTAATATAATTTATTTTTAAAAAGTTATTTTTCACTTTTTCAATATTTTTTTTTATTAACTTGTCATTTTTTTAACTTTCAATAACAAAACTGTTGGCAGTGAAAATGCCCTAAATTCAACTTTAGAATATGAAATTTTTTACTTAGTTAACACCATTATTTATCAGTGTAACACGGAAAAAGTAATTGGAATATAGCTAAAAAAGGTAAATATGCATTATAACCGATATAAATATATTATTTGTTTTTAATATTAATATATGACTCTCTATGAGACGTAGCAACAACGCAACATTTAGTTTTTGGCGGTATAGGCAATGAGTGTTCCAGGTGGTTCCAGGTATATATATTCTAACTGAAAACCATATGGTAGAAATACAAGAAATATAATAACGTTAATAAACAATGCGCAATTTAATGTTGAAATTATGGAAAAGTGCATATCTTGAGATACAAGTTAATTTTTGTTATTTACGAATAGATAATAAAAAATATTAAACAATGTTTTTTTGTACATGTTTTTTCTTTTAAAATTTCTAAAGCATTTTACGGTAGAAGCTTAACTTTATTTCTATAGCTTAACAGCTTAACTTTATTTACAGCATATTTAACTTTCATTTTGTTGTTAGTTAATACATTAAGAATTTAATATTCTTAAATTTTACTATCATTTCTGTTTGTAATTTTTACACAATTTTTTAATATATTTCCATTCTATAGAACTATTATGAGATATGATTTCTTTCTAATCAGCCAAAGTATTTCTCGCAAGTTTGATCATATGTGGTGGATCTGAAATATCAAAAACTTCATATTTTCTACTTTAATAAGATAAATAACATAAGTTTGCATATCTGCATAATTAAATATCTTCATTTATCTTGTAACCTAAAATTTCTAAATTCGAATATTAGTTCCATCACAAGTTACATTTTCCATACTTTTATTCCAGATTCTAAACATAAGTTTAATACACAATTAATTAAATGTGCTTGTATTTGTGCATTTACTTTATCTGTAAGGAAGTAAGTGATAGATAATTTCCATTGATCTTTTAGATTGACAAGCATAAAATCTAATATTTCGAAAACCAAAATTTCTTGTCCTTCTATAAAAATTCCTTGTCTATAATTACAATATCCTTTGTGAACTGGGATCTCAGATTATGTCTCTCTGAATTACCATGCTATCGAATACTAAACTGCAATCCTTATCCTCCAAGTTTAAAGTAGACAATGATTTAAGCACATCTTGTTAAAATCCTGACTCTGCATTCACTGATTGCGTCCAATTTATTAATGATAATTTATCAGGAAGACTTAAGATTGTCCTATAAAATTATAAAATTATTTAATATTTTAATATTTATAGTATAAAGTTATACTGTGTGTGTGTGTGTGTGTATGCACGCATGCAGAAAAAAAGAATATAAAAATAAAATACAAAAAAATTAATCAAAATTAATAATAAAAAATTGGTATCAGTAATTTAAAAATTGAAAAGTTGTAGGCTGACCTACAATAATTATACGCTTTAATTTAATAATTAATGCTGGTTCTATAATACATTAGTGAATGATAATGTAACGTAACAACAAATTTCTTGATTTTGTCACAATAACGTTTATCAAATTTTTACTTGCTTTTATTTTTATTAGAGATTTTATTTCCTAACAGATGCAGACCTTTGAATTCATTTTCCAGTAATGTAATAGCATTTGTGTTTCCGATAAATTTTACAAGTTTAAAGTTTGTAACAATTCTTTCATTCTATTAATAGATTTAGTTTGTCGACGAACTTTTTGTTGAAGAGTTTTTATTTTCTTTTTTAACTTTTTCTTCCTAGAAATATCATCTAATTCTCTTTTCAAACATTTATTTTCATCTGTATTATTGATACATCCACATATATGGCCACATTCAGTTTGTGTTGCAACGTCGTTATATAAAGGAAATATTAGATAATGGCTGTCTTCCTCAATCAAATGTTGATCCTCTGTTTTCGATGAATAATTTAAATCTAAAAACAAAATTTGTTTAAAATAACTATATATATAATATTTAATAACTCTAAAGTCTAATACATAATAAACATTTAATGTTTAACACATTAAATGCATATGTACACAATTTATATTAATATATTATATAAATATTCTTACTAAATAATGACAATTCTTCGTTTATTGTCTCTTTTGTTGAAGTGGAAATTGAGTTATTTGTTTTAGTGTTATGTGTGATTAGATCAACATTTCTTGGTGTTTCAGTGATTTTAGAAGTCTTTTCAACCCAAGGAATTAGACGTGCTGCAGATATAAATACATGAGGAACAGCATCTTGTTTTAAACGTCTTAAATATGATCCAGGTCTATTCAAATAATCTGTAGGTTCAAAATGTAAACTACAAACACGACTGTGAGTAGTTGGCTGCCAATTTTCCCTTCCAATTGCTGTTACCCATAATTTACACAAGTTTTCTCGTTCCAAAGGAAATCTGAAACATGTTACAGTAGAAAGCATAACCTAAAACGTTAAATGTAACCTATAATGTTAAATCAATATTTACGTAAAATTGTAAAGTATCTAATATAGTATATGTGTGTTGATAAATTATGATAATTTATATTTTATTTTATTTTTTATTTATATAAAACTATTGTTTATTAATTATAGATACTTACCGAAATAAAGATATATTTGTAGAACTTTTATAATTACAATTAGGAACTGCACATCTATAAGGCATGTTTTTAATTGTGCCAAAATGTCGAAATAAAAAAATATAAGAACATAACTAATACAAAAAAATATAAATTGATCTTCTCTCTAATTTAATTGTAATTTAAAAAAATGAAATTATAATCGAAGCACAAAGTGTACACACTAACACCTCTTCACAAAGCAATGTATGCGACTGCGATGACTGATTGTGAGTAAATCTGGCGTCCCGACTTCAGTTGACCCCAACTGATTCATAAAAAACTATAGCATGTAGCGATCTAGGTATTATACATATATTCATGTTAATTCATCCATAGTAATAACTTGAAAATTATTTTTAAATTATTATTTTAAAAGGAAGCGATATACAGTGGTGGCAGAAATAATAGGTACACTAACTCATTTGTTGTTTTTTTTCAATTTGCAAACATATGTGTTAATGCTAGGTCAGATTACTTTTTCAGTTGAATGTCGACACATTTGAAAAACATGTTTGTATTAATACAAATAATCTCAATTGATCTCTAGAATCATGTTATAAATATATAAGGTATGTTCATCCGGTGGACGAATTTAGAAAGCTTTTGCGCAGTAACCAGCTTACGTCACATTCGGCTACTTTCGGATGCTTTCGGAAGCATTCGGACTCTGAGTGCACAATGAAATATGGCTACTGCTGCCGTGTTTATTATCATATTCGTTAAAGTTTTAAACAAGAGTTTTTATTAAAAACAATGGTTGCTTGTGCAGTAAAAGCCTGCAATAATTCTTATCGAAAAACGGTGAGAATGAAAGGAGAGAAAATAAAATTTTTCAGGTTTCCTAAAGACCCTGAAATTGCTGCAAAGTGGATCGAAGTGTGCCGTAAAAATGTAAATATAACGCATGGTAAGGTTGAAATATTGCATAAACAATTAACGCATAAACAAATTGATAGTGTAAATATATAAATAGCTTAATCTGGTTAGATTAACTTTTTATAATCAAACAAAAATATCATGAAACTTCTGGTAAAAATTTGTCAGAATTTTTACGTGAATTGAAACACTTTTGAGAAGTATTGAGAAAGAATACACTTTTTCTTCGAATTGTTTATTATATGTGAATTCGTATAAAAAAATCTAGATTTTAAATTCTTTATTAAAAATTTTGAAAAATTATATGAAAAATTTTCACCAAGAGCACTCTGACAATTTTATCGAGTAATACTATTGTACAATTCCATCTTATTTACTTACGTATTTGTTTATGCAGAGTTTCTTTTTTTAAAACGGCGAGTTGGAATATATTACTGAAAAAATCAACCAAAATTATAAACAGTTACAATCAGTGTCAATATAAATATTTTGTAGGAAGGATATGTTCTACACATTTTGAGAGATGGTGTTACGAGAAGTCTGCGCAGCAGATAGCTTTGAATTATTCTCCTGTACGTTCACGAAAGTTAAAATTAGATGCAATCCCTACATTGCATTTATTAGAGGAACTACAAGTGACAGAAAGATTGGATGTGCCAATACCGTCAATTCATATCGATGATGCATCCAAGTCTGCAGCAACACCGGAGGATATTGTTCCTGTAGAATTAAAGGCAACTTCAAAGACATTATTGGTGCAAACTGTTGATACAGAATCATCAGTGGCGATCTCGAAAGGTGTATCGGAGAATATTATCGTACCAATACCATCGAAATCTGATACTTCAATAGACTATCTTGTGATAATGTAAATTATAAATGTTTATTATTTATTATAATAACAATGAAATATTTGAGGTCTTAGGTTTTATGACCTGTAAGTTTCGACATGATTACGAATTTTGTTACTTAAATTTACTTCACGATATACTTCCAGAAAGAATCTGCAACAGCAGTTAGCAAATATGCAGAAGACTATTGTCGAACTCAAGAACGAGAAAAAGTTTAAGAGCCAGTCACAGAAGAAGCATCAGTTAAAAGAATCTGCGTTCAACAATCTTCGCCGAATCTTTACGCCAGGGCAAATCCAAATGATAATACATCCAGAGAAAAAGCGGGTCGTATGGTCTTCAGAGGATATTGCGAGCGCAATATCTTTACGATGCGTTAGCCCGAAGGCATACCGCTATTTACGAAATGTAATCAAGCTACCACTTCCTGGACTTTCAACACTCCGAAGGTGGGCAAGTAATATTAGTATAGATGAAGGTATATTGACATTTGTGTTGCAGTGCATTCAAGTTAAGGGTAAAGGCATGCAAATGAATGAAAAACTAGTAGCATTAACATTTGATGAAATGTATTTGAATAATAGAATAGCTATCGAAAGAAAGACGCAACAAGTCATGGGACCGCATAAGACTTGCCAATGCATTACGTTAGAAGTTTATTTTCCAACTAGAAACAGCCAGTTTGTTATTACTATGACCAATCAATGATCAAAAGTATTCTCTATGATATAATTGCACGTTTGTATGCTATAGACTATACAGTTGTTGCAGTGACAAGTGATATGGGTCCTGATAATATGGCTTTATGTGGCATGAATTGGAAATCGGTGTCCCCCCTAAGAAGTCTTTTTTCGAGCATCCTTCTAATACAGCTTAAGAGTTTTTGTATTTGCAGACACACCACATTTATTAAAACTCATAAAAAATCATTTCCTCGACGATGGATTCAAAATGAACGGACAGCTGATACATAAGAAGTGTATTGAGAAACTCTTCGATTAATGCTGACGATCTTAAAATTGCCTTCAACATATAACAATATCATTTGGATGTGAAGGAATCGGAGCGATAAAAGGTTCTTCCCGCTGCACAATTATTGTCCAACAAAACGGCTGCTGCAATTCAATGAAGTGGACAGAAAGGATATCTAGGAGATATAAATTGACAAGAAACAGCATGTATCTTTCATTTAATCAACGATTGATTCGACATTTTCAATTCGTCGAATATGTACAGCAAGCATGAAGGTAAAAATACGTACGGCATAAATTTAGATAAACAAACGGTAGTTTTACACAAGATAACCGATATAATGCAGAAGATCCAGATTGGACGACATCGTTCACTGCTTTTATTCCAAAAAGGAATAATTGTAAACAATATATTTATCTTTAGAAAAGCTGTTCATTTATTTGAGGGAAACGTATTCTGATGAACAGTTGGAAATAAAATACATCATTACCAGTCGTTTAAATCAAGATTTGCTGGAACATTTCTTTTCCTTCATAAGAGCTACTGGGGGTGCCTACGATCATCCGACGGCACTTGATTTCAAATACGGATTGAAGAGATACTCGTAGGAAAGCACTCCAGCCAACCTTTTCTGTGGAAGTTCCAACATCATTGCAAGTGAGCCAAATACAACTTGTCTTTCATTTCCATTTACCAATGACAGTTTTTTAATAAACTTGAGCAGTATGCTGGAGCCATTTATCATAGAAGAAGAAGAAACAATTTTTGCTGAAGAGTTATTCGCAAATACTGAAGATCCCAATGGTAATGTCGATGACTATCCTCTCTGCGATTTAAGTAATTATAATATGTCCATTGAGGAAGAAGAAATGTTATTATCATTAGAAAATCTAAATATTATTGATAGATGAAGGTTTAATATACATCGCTGGATACGTAGCCTATAGATTTAAACACAAGTACATCTAGGTACTAAAACATGTCTCTTGCCAGTTGCAAGACATAGATTAGTTACATTTTATTTCACGTGGAAATTGCCTATATTCATCAGAAGAATTACTACGAACCGCACGCATCATGAACAAGGAATTTAATAACTACCATGGACTAAAAATATTACGTAAAGAGCAATTTATATTTAAAACATGGACGCAAAAAGTACACACATATTAATACAGCCCCTCCAAATTCCTGAAGAAGTCATCCTATGTTTGGTGAGAACGCGAACTTATCTACGACTACGTCAAATAAACTGGGGAATTGCTGCTGTAAATCGAAAGAGGAGTAACAAAAAGAAATTATCAAAATTTCTTTATAAATAAAGTCATTACTTATTACACGTATATCTGCAATTGTTTTTTTATTATTTATTTCATCGTTAATTCCTCAAAAATAAGTTAGAAAAGAATCTTAAAAGATCATTATATGTATATATATTTTTTCTGTAAAGAGAGCACAATAAAAGTTTTTTGCTAATTGCATATTTCTGCAGTAAATAAATGTGAATTACTTTTCAAGAAAAGTATTAATTGTCACTAAAAGTGTAAAATCACCTTCCTTTATATAAATTTTTTCACAATTTATATAATAAAAGATGATTATTTCTTTTTTATTCTTTGAAATTATACATGATACGTATTAGAATAAATTTTTTGAATTTAGCGGCGAGAAATCACGTTTCTAAAGTCGAATCTTATTAGAAAATACTATAATTCAATATTGTATGTAAAAGTACTAAGCAAAGGCATTTTGAATTTGCCGCTTAATGTGACGTAGTTTGGTTGCAGTTTCTGATTGGTTATCTGGAGCAATTATGCGCGTGAGCATATCCTTATATTTACATCATGTCTAGAATTAAGCAAGTGCAGACGTTTTTCGAGGAAAGTGATTTCGGACTGGTAGAAATAATAGGTACAAACTGAGAAAACTCCATATTATTAAATTTTGTTGGACACTTTGATATTGTCAGAGATTATAAATCTATGTTTAATTTAGTATTTACCAACATTATTTTGTGATAAATTTCATTTACAGTTGATGAAAAATGGGTAGATCGAAACATTGCACAGATGAGGAGAGAAGATTAATAATACATCTTCGTAAAAATGGAAAATCTCTCGGGAAAATATCTAAATTGATAGGACGGTCTAGAAATATGATTGCTAACGCCTTAAAAGCACAGCAGTCTATAGAAACGCGAGGAAGACCTCGAAAAACAACTGAAGAATTTGATCGATTACTACTTCGGAAATACAAAGCCGATCCCTTTGCGAGTGCTTTTACACTGAAGGAGCAAACTAATGCACCGATATCAGCAAGAACAATTCGTCAAAGACTGCAAGATGCTAAATTGTGTGCTACAACCCCAAGAAAAGTGCCACTGTTGAGTAAGAAGGATATTAGAGATCGTTTAACATTTGCGAATAAATATTTAAAAACTCTTGGTGAAGAGAGAGAGAGAGAAAGAGAGAGGGAGAGGGAGAGAGAAAGAGAGAGAAAGAGAGAGAGAGAAGCAGAAATATTCTTAGAGAGATATTCTTTGATGCGACGAAACAATCATTAATTTGTTTGGATCTGATAGTGCATCTTAACTGTGAGGAGGCCTCCAAATGCTACATTCAATCCTAAATTCACCAAAAAGACAATAAAGTTTAGCGGAGGAAACATCATGGTTTGGGGATGTTTCTCCTACAATGGTGTCGGCCTTCTGTACTGGATCAAGGAAACGATGACAAAAGATTTATTGTGACATTTTAAATGATACCGTGTTCCTCTATGCTAAGGAGAATATGCCACTGATATAGACTTTTCAGCAAGATAATGATCACAAAACATTCGTCAAAACTTGTAAAAATGTGGTATGAAGATAATCAAGTCTCTGTGATGAAATGGTTAGCACAATCTTCTGATTTAAAACTTGTGGTATGAAGTAAAAAAGGCAGTCCCAAAGGAAAAAATTAAAAATAAAACTCAATAATGGTAAGAAGTTCAGAAAGCGTGGTACAACATATTAAAAAATCAATACCTTGCTCAAAAAGTTCCCGGAATTACCACCAGATGCTCCAAGGGTGCGTTCCAAAATTGACTGCCAGTACTGAAAACCTATAGTGCTCGTGACGTAAACTATAAATTTTCAGTACTGGCAGTCAATTTGGAACACACTAACACAGCCTAGTCAGCTGATTTTAGAGGGACTCTAGCTGATTTGAGTTCTGTTTTTTTGATTAGGTTGCCACATCTATCATTGGGCGCATTTAGCGGACTCAACAGTTGAGTGAGCGCTCGCTGTTATTGGTGTATTTTTTTTAGATCAATCAGAATTTTAGATCTGGAAGAATACCATTAATAACCATCAGTCCGCTGAATGTGCCCATTGACATTTCCACCAAATTTGATCACCATAGCTTGACATTTGTAAAAGTTACGCCGTCTTGAACATATACATCTACCTCTGCACGTGTTTTCGATTTTTTATAGTTTTAAAAATGGAGTTGAATTTGCAACAACGAGTTTGTATTAAATTTTGCGCTAGAAATGGATTCAATGGTGCGGAAATCTTGAAAATGTTGGGAAACTGTTTTGGCAGTGATGCTCTAAAGAAAACAACCGTTTACGAGTGGCATGAACGCTTCAGAAGTGGTCGTGAATCCGTCGAGGATGACGAACGCAATGGCAGGCCTTGATGGATTACAACGGTATTGTACATCACGAATTTTTGCCAGAAGGTCAGACAGTTACTAAAGAAGTATTATTTGGGCGTTATGAGACGTTTGCATGAAGCAATTCGCCAAAAAAGAATGGATTTGTGGGCAAACAACTCGTGGATTTTGCACCATGATAACGCACCATCGCACAGTGCCTTCATTATCCGTGAATTTTTTACCAATAACGAAACGAATACCATCTAACAGCCATCGAATTCACCCGATATGGCTCTTTGCGATTTTTTTCTGTTCGATCGAGTCAAAAAACCACTACGGGGAACGCGTTTTAACAGCCGAAAGCGAGGTAATGGAAAAATCGAAGACGACTCTGATGGCTATACTGACAATAGAGTTCCAGAAATATTTCGAGAGCTGGATCAAGCGCTGGCATAAGTGCGTTGCAGTTGATAGAGAGTACTTTGAAGGGGACAATATCACTTTTGATGAATAAACTTGTATTTTGAATTTTTTGAATGAATTCAGAGAACTTTTTGATCAAGATATATGCGAGCGCTTAGTAGATTCAATGAATCGCCGATGTCAGTTTTGCGAAATAAGGGCTACGCGACTAAATATTAGTCAGAAAGACAAGATTTAATTTTCTGAAATATGTATTAAATAGTTTTCTATTATGCAATATATTTCATAGTGTAATTGTACCTATTATTTTTGCCAATAACTTTTTGTCAAAAATTTTCTAAGACTAAATATTTCATGATTGTATGACTTAGGCGAAAAATGATTAATTTTTTAATAAATGTAAAGCCTCAAAGTATTACCTCTACATATAATAATTGATCTGATTTTTTTTTCTGTCTTCTGCAGATAAAATTACGATTTATCTGCAGTATCTATTTTTTCTGCCACCACTGTACATATACATAAATGAAAGAGTAGGGTAAAAGAGAATATCAAGGTGTGATATTGAAAATTCGTCATCATAATATTTATTATAATCATAATGTAAGAATATATTTACAATTGTTACTTAAGGGCGGCAGGAGTCACGGTCAAAGAAAAATTTCTTTTATTTTAAATTATAATTACAATATATAGAGAAAATTATAATATAGTTATGATATCCGTAATCAGAAAAATTAACTGAAGCCGCGTACACAGCATTTTCTTTTTTTTTTTTTAAGAAAAAAGGGTAAAATAAAAATTCGTTATATTTTACTTGATTTGTACTATAGTGCACAGTTAAAGTTGCGGATAATTTTATTTATTATATTATCTTTAAGAATAAAATTTTTAAATCCAGTTCTCTTTAGGCTATACAGCTAAAACATAGGTAAAAAACAAATTTTATGACAAAATATTTCTTCTACAAAGTAATATATGGTGGAGTGCAGATATGCAAATGAGATGTAAATGAGTTTTCTCTTCATTACTGCCGATCCTTAAATAATAATTATAAGAGCGTAATGTGTGGTCACTCGTGATCACTTGACAGATATAGGTACCACTTATATTCTTACAACTGCTAAATTTTATTGCTATAATAAAGACCGAGTAAGTAGTTTACGAAAACTCACCGTACCCGGTAGCACGAGAGAAAAATAGGATTCAACAATTAAGACACTTAGTTGAGTATATCGCAGATATCATAAAGTATACCAATGCCACTGTGTCCTTGGTAGGATAAATGATAGGAAATTTATAACTTCGTCGAGACTTCTAGAGATTCAAATTTAAACGTATTGATTGGATCGCAACTATAACAAAAGATCATTTCAACTTTTGCTTATTATATGAAAATAAGGAGATTAAATAATAAATAAATAAATAAATAATAACAAAGTATTGTGTATGAATTAATAAAATACAATCAGTACAAATTTTAATTACCAAGGCATTATCAAAATGAATTAACTAACTTTTAACAAACTTGATTGTACAGTGGCGGTATCACAGTTACTTTGATATCATACAATATTTGTAGTCGCCCATCTCTCACATAAGTTGAACTAAAACAGTCGCATATTATAAATGATAGATAACTGTATGCAACTACATCCTTTTCTTACATAAATTTACAAACTTTTTCTAGAGCATAAGATATTTTTAGAATGTCTGTGCATCTTTAAATGTATTTGCTATAAAAGTAAATAAA